GTCCAATCTGCATGGCATCCCTGGCTACCTGGGCCCGCGCGCAGGGCCGGGTCTTCCCCCCCACTGCCCAGGTGACCAGAGCATCGCCTCCCAGGCGCCAGGCTTTTGTCTGCAGACAAGGAGCGAGATCCCCGCTGTGAGAGATTCAACAGCAGCCTCTCAGGCTGGCTGAGACAGATCTCTGGAGAGGGGCACCGACGGTGGCATTTCTGCCACAGGGACGAGCCCTGCTGGGCTTTGACTCATGGGCATAGGGAGAGGCATCCCCTCCATCGCAGTTGTCCCACATCTGCAGTGAGTGGCCTGTCCTGGGACGGGGAATCTTTCCTGCTCCCCCCAGCCCTTTGGTCCAGAAGCCCCATTGCCGCCCGCCCGGCGCAGGTTTTGTTGTCACCACCCAAACTCCTGCAGGTTTTGGCGTCGACACCCAGAAATTGCCGCTGGCTGCAGCTGTGGGTGCCAGACATGTCGCATGCTGCTGAATGGCGTCCGGTGGCGTGCTCCTCTGGAGGCTGCAGACTGCTCTGTGACCCCTGTCCCCACCTCTTCCGTCCCCCCAAAAGGTGCTTCAGGGGGTGTGAGCTGCATGCATGGGTCAGGCCAGTTCCACAGCTCACGTAGGACCTAGAGTCTCCGCCTGCCGATCCGCTAGACCCAGGGAAGGGGAGATGGGGGTGTTGGCATTGGCTATGTGTGACCCCCATCTGCAGTGACGGGGGCTTCTCTTGGGCTTGGGGTGCCCACTTGCTTGCTGGAGCGCAGCGCTGTGGCCGTGCCATCTGCTTCGGGCAGGTGCAGCTGGCCAGGGTAGGACCCCCGGGCCGTTCCCATGCTGCAGAGGTGGCTGGGGGAGGCCTTTCCCCCCACCGCTGCAGCAACTGGGCATCAGAGCCCCTCCTGCCAGACTCTCTTGGTGCCCTCCTCCCCGTTCCCAGAATAATCTCCGCACATGTAGCATCAGTGTCAGTGAAAACGTGGGGAAATCGTGTCTTTTCGGAGTAAGCAAAGCGGCCGGATTAAGCTGGATTTGCATAGCAATGTGCTGGCAGCTTTAGCCCTTCCTTGAAATTCAAATTCCTTCCCCCTTTCTTCTCGCCAGGTCTCGCTTTCTGCTGCGCTCCGTAATTGCTCTGCCCTCGCCGATCCACCCTGCCCGGGCACCCGGGACCTTGGACTTTGCAGTGCAGAGCAGCCAGGCGGAGTGCCCTCGAACAGATCCAGGGCTTTCAAGAGGGGCAAGGCAGGGGTGCAGAGACAGCGGGAGCCAGCGCCTGAGGGGGCATGTGTTGAAATGCAAGCTTCTCAGCCCGGCATTGGATGAGAAACGTCTGCAATGAGAGTGGGGCTGGCAGCCAGGGGAGGTTGCTTTCTGGCCCGAAAGAGGCCGGTGGGGTGCTGTAGCTCGCCGTGTTCAACAGCCAGGGAGGCTGGCAGGGGCCACGGCGTGCAGGCTCCAGCCACGGTCCCAGACTGAGCTGGATTACATGCTCAGTGCCGGGACAGGAGGAGAAGCAGCTGCGGGCAGAGCAAACCCTCTAGAGCAGATGCTGTAGAGAGCTTGGAGGAGGGTAGCACAGGGGCCTGGTCTCGGGCACCAGCCGGTCCGTCCCAGGCAGGGGCCTGGTGCGCTGAGCTCGGGGCTGTACGTGTTTGCAGCAGGGTGCAGTCTAAAGAGAGGGCGAGGTGGAGCAGGGGAGTGTTTAGCTTGTGGAGGAGACCAGCATCTGGACGTCAGACCCTATGTGTCTGCCCTGCAAGTCAGGGATGGGGTCGAGCTCTGAGTGCCAGCAGCGTCTTGCCCGTCTCCTTGTTCTCGCTGCCAGCTGCACTGTTTGGCGGGACCTGCTCACAACATTGGGGTGATTAGGAAGGGAACTGTGAATAAGACAAAGTATCACGATGCCCCTTTATGAATCCATGTTGTGGCCACACCTTGAATGGGATGCCCGGGTCTGGTCCCTGCACCCCCGGGAGGAGAGAGAAGAGCTGGAGCAGGCGCAGAGACAGGCAGCGAGGATGAGGAGCGCTGTGGAGGGGCTTCCCTCGGAGAGGCTCACGAGGCCAGGCCAGGGCAGGGCAGAGATGCTGGAGGGGGCAGGAGAAGGGGTTACAGCACAAGAGAAAGTCCCTAGGGATCGATCGTTGCCCGTCTCTCACGAGACAAGGACGAGGGGTCACAGCACGGACCGAGCAGGTGTCGATTGACCATGAACACCAGGCTGCTCTTTTCCCCCACGTGGCATTAAAGTGGGGGCTTGTGGCCACCAGCTGTGGTGGGAGTGGAGAGCTCAGCCAGATCCACGCAGGGCCTGGACACGGGCTTGGAGGAAAGGGGCACGGGGAGCTCTGCAGCAGGTAGCGAGGGGCACGGCCTCTGCATCAGACCGGCCTGGACTTTAAAGGCTGCAAGGGAGAGAGGAGCAGGGAAAACCCTGCTCGGACCCCATCATCTCCCGTCCAGCTCCGCTCTCTGCTCCCATGTGACTGGGCCCAACAGACCTGGGTCTGACCCGTCCATGGCAGCTCTCATATACCGTGGTGCTCTGGTTAGGTTGCTCCGCCTGTGCCTTTCCCGTGCCTAAATTGTGTCGGGTGGGGGTGAGGGGACCTGCCGCTGCTCCCCTGATTGCCAGCCAAGGGCCTAGCTGTGATGCCAGAGGTTGCTAGAAGACAGGGGCAGCTCCCTGATGCTGGACACGAAGGGCTGCTGGTGGGCGAAGTTCCCCCAGGACTTGCAGAGCTGGTTTGGGATGAAGTTGAGATCACGCGGTTCATGGGCTGTGTTGCCCACCGAGGCAGGCATGCCGGCGGGATATAAGCAAACTTGCGTCCTGCGGGCCTGAAGCAGGGGATGCCTCTCATTCCCAGGAAATTTGCCCCAGGGGTTGTGTTTGGAAGGTGGCAGCCGGCCTGCGTTGCAATCCCAGCGTGGGCCAGGGGAGCTGTAGCTGGTCACGTCGAAACATGGTGGGGCATCTTGCTCATGCATTCGAGAAGCCAGAGGCAGGGAAGGGGGATCCCTCTGCCCCTGCCAGCCTGGACAGCTGGCTGGTTGACCTCAGACCCATGGTCCACACCATTTCACACACCCCTTTGTCTTCTCTTGCAGGTGAATGTCACAGTGGACTACATCCGGCCCGCCAGCAGTGCCACAGAGACTGTGCCCGCCTTCTCCGAGCGCACCTGTGCCACCGTGTCCATCGGAGGCATGTGAGTATCCCCTGCGAGGGCCGTGGCTCTGGGCATGGCCGGGGGGTGGGGGGGAAGCTACAGCAACGCTGGAGAGCGCTGGTCCTGATGCCCGGCTCCAGCATGTGCAGTGGAGTCCACGGGGTGCCAGCCACTGCCGTGGGCATGTTCGGAGTCTCGTCTTGTGCCCGCTGCCTCCCTGGGGTAGCCTGTGGTCAGGGGAGGAGCCCCGGAGCCGTGCGGTGACGCACGGGTACAGCTGAGCTGCAAGTGGGGAGCGGATCCCACTCCATGGGGCCTTCTCCTGGCCCATGCCTCCCTGCCCGCAGCTGCTTCCAGCTCCAAGCTCCAGGTAGGACCTTCCCCTTCCCCGCACCCGGCGTCTTGCTGTGGACAGCACTGAAAGCTGCCACACTCTGGTTCGGCTGCAGTCCTCGTGGCCCTGCGTCATTTCTGGCCTCTGTCTGGCTGGAGGGACCAAAGGGACTGTGCCTTGCTTCTGCTGGGACTCAGACCTGAGGGTCCTGGCCTGTTTTCAAGCCTCCCCAGAGGCGCTGGGTGCTGCTACAGCCCCAGCTGGGGATGGGGCTGGGCTGTGCCAATGCTCCTGCTGGCACCAATGCCTCAGGGTCCTGGCTGGAGGCTCTTGCCCCTGTGCTCAGGTGCAGCCCCACACTGCACTGGGGCAGGAAGGGATTTCCCCCCTGCTTAGATTGGTCTGAACTGGTGGGGGGGTTACCTTCCTCTGCAGCAGGGGCACGGCCTCGGCCTGGGCTCTCTGCAGCAGCCATGACCCCCCAGCAGCAGCAGGATGTGTATCGCGGGGGCAGGGGCGATGTCTGGGGCTGTGTCGGGGCAACTGCGTTGTGCGGCTTCAAGGTCGGACGCAGGGTTTATTTGGGCTGGTTTGGATGGGGCCGATCCTGCTTAGGTAGGACTGGGACTGGATGTGACCCTGCAGCTCCCTGCTTTATGAGTTTGCGACGGGAGCGATGGCCCTAACTAGCCCAGCATCTGGCTGCGTGCGGGTGGGAGGGAGCTACGTCTCCCCTGGGCCTTCACAGGGTTGCAGAGAAGCAGAGCTGGAGGGGATCTCCCAAGATCATTTGCTCCATCCACTGCCTCGCCGTGACCCATCTTCCAGGCCCCACGCACGTCTCCCCTCCTCTCTTGCACCACCCTGCCACGCAGCCAGGCCCCGGGGGCACATAACGGAGGTGAAATTTCCCGGCAGCGCAGGGGCTCGTTGGCAGGTCGTGTGCTGCCCGCCTTGAGCCTCAGCCACTACCTCCGCACGCCAGCGTTTGAGCCGGGGCGTGAGTGCCTGCAGCGCAGTGCGCTGGCTACCTCCCTGCTCCCACTGCCAGCGGCACAGAGGTTTCCTTGGCCAGACCACGGAGCCAGCCTGGCCCCTCCTCTGGTCCGGTCCCTGTGCTATGCTGCTGCGGGCTCCTCTTGCTGCCTGGCCTTGGTGCTTTACAGGTTAGGGGACGAGAGTGACTGCCCCCGTGCTTGCCTGTGACCCACAAGCTGCTGGGGCAGAGTCCCTGGGCCGGTGAAAAGGGGAAGGCAGAGCATCCTGGCTCCACTCCTTCCTGTTTCCCGGAGCACGTGGCTGCCGTGAGCACCCCAGAGGCCTGGGCACCCCAGCCCCTTCTGCTCCAGGGGCTGCCTCTCCCGAGCCCTGCCCGGGCACGTGCTCAGGGTCCATGGGGTCTTTATGGGATGCCAGCTCCCTTCCCCTATTCCTCCCCTGCTTGGAGCCATACCAGGAATGGGGCAGGGGGGTGAGTTCCCGCCGCTTTAAGAGACCCCGGGGCAGGCTGGCACACGCCTCCTTCCGGCTGGTTGCACGGCCGCGTCCTTAACGAGTGACTAATGCGTGTGTTCTCGCCAGGTCTTGTCCGTGGGAGCCAGGGGGGAGGGGGGACGATTTGTCACCGGCCTTTTTTTGTCGCAGCTCGTCGTCTGGAAAGGCACCAATGCCTCCGGGCTTGGCTCTTCTGCATTCATCCGGGGGCTGTGGGAGACGAGCTGTGTGTGCCTGCGCGCGTGTGTGCATGCGTGCGGCGGGGGAGGCCGGTGCCAACCAGGCCTCCTCTCGTTAGCCAGTTGCAGCCTCGTCAAGGGCCTTGTCAGTGCCCTTTGGCTGCTCTGACTGTGCCCGGGTGGTGTCAGAAAGCTGGGCTGGGGTCTGTAGATCGGGGGCTGGCCCAGCTCGTCCTGTGTCCCAGTCATAGGGCCGTGGCTTGAGCGGGGCCGTCGAGCTGTTCCCAGGGTCTCCCCCAGCCCCATTGCGGCCTCTGCTCTGTGCCCCATTCTGGCTGCGACTCCCATCTGGATGCTCCCCTCTCCCCCGGGGCATCGATCGAGGTGGAGCCAACTTGCTGGGAGAGGAGGTCACGTTGGTCCCCAAGGGCAGTGCCCACATGCCCCCAGCCCAGTAGCACCCAGGGAGGGTGCAGACTGGTGGGGCTTTGGGGGCGGCAGAGGGGCAGGATCTCTTTGTCCAGCCCCTCGGTCTTGCATGGCGTGGCTGCTTCTGCACCTCCATCCAGCCAGGCTGGGGGTCACTGGTCTTGGGAGCACCCTCCAGGAGTGATGCCCGTCGCAGCAGGGTATCGCTGCACCCTGAAGGGCTCCCCAGAGCATGGCAAGCCCCTGCCCTCATCCCGTCAGTTGCTGGGGGTTTATGGGTGATAAAGTGATGCCCTGGCAGCTGGTTTCCCCTGTACCCCGGAGCAGGAGCCTCCCTATAGCAAGGGGCATTCGGCTAGAGGTGGGCATCTCCAGGGCTGCCCTTCCACCCAGCCCCCGGGCAGGCAGAGCTGCCAAGTCCCCGTGAAGAGCAGACCGTGCCAGCCTTGCTTGGCCCCCTTCTCCTGCCCGGGCGAGGCAGCTGGAGCCCCACACAGGGGGCTGTTAAACACCCAGCTGCCCCACAGAGAGCAGAGACCGGCCCCAGAGGCTTTGGTTACCCAGGGTTTGCTGGGAGGGAAGGGGCTGGGTTGCTGCCATGCAAGTGGGAGACCCCAGCCTTTAGCGTAGCACCCGCATCCAGTGCCCAGGTGCTGCCTTTGCCCACAGGAAGGGGGAGGTGGTATGGGAATCCCATGTCCCAGGGTGGGGGGCAGGCAGCTTGTGGGGTGACGGGGGCCTTGGGGGGATAGCGCATCCTCCTTGCATTGGGCTGGGGCAGGTCCGATTCATCCCAGGCCGGACAGTGGTGCTGGGTGCTGGAAGGGCAGGTCTTCAATGGGGGAAATACCCCGTAGCTTTGCTGGCATCAGTAAAGCCGCGGGGCCACCAGGTTTCCTCTGCCAAGCCTCCCGGATGGTGTGGGAGCCTGCCGGGGGCCGGGGAGCGGGTGCTGGTGCTGGTCATGGCAGAGGGGCTGTGCTGCCTGCCTGCGTGGGAGCTGCCTGCTGTTTTCAGCATCCCCTGCTGCCCTCACTTCCTTGATCCCTGCCCTGGGAGCTGGCCTGGGCCACGGGCAGAGCTGCCTGATGGGATAATGGCAGGGTGAGCCGCGCGGGGCTCAGGGAGCAGCGCCACGGGGCTCGCCCGGTCGGGCCCCTGCACCCGCTCAGCATCCCTGATGCAGGGAGGCTTTGCCGGCCTTGCTCCTGCTCCATGTCACTCGGGGCAGGAGCTCCAGGGGAGGAGAACTGGGTTCTCTGGCTCCCTCGGTGCACGTGGTTTGTGTGCACGCCGGCAGGATACTGGCAGCAAGCATAAAATCCTAGAGCCGCGAAGCTGGCAGGGAGCTGCAGAGTCACATCCAGTCCCAGGCAGGATCGGCCTCATCCAAACCAGCCCAGATGAACCCCGTGTCTGACCTCGGAGCCACGCGACAGTTGCCCTGACACAGCCCCAAGCATCACCCCTATGTCCGCCCCGGGATACGGGGGGGCTGCGGTTGCCAACGTCCTGCTGCTGCCAGGGGGGTCATGGGCGCTGCAGAGAGCCCAGGCCCAGGCCGTGCCCCTGCTGCAGAGGAAGGCAAAACCCCCCAGTGCGACCAGTCTGAGCAGGGGGAAATCCCTTCCTGCCCCCAAATACTATAGTATATACTATGCCTGGGGCTGTGTCAGGAGGCACCCCCCCTTGACATGACCAGGGGGCCGGTTTAAAGCAAACCAGAAGATGAGCTTTTATTTGCACGGCCTGCAGCCAGCTCTGGAGCCTGTTGCCACCGAAGGTTGTAGAGCCGGGTTCAAAACAGGGAGTAGATGCCTTTGCAGAGGACACGGCCATTGGGGGCTGCTCGAGGGATGTATTGGACATCTCTGAACCAGGAGCATCAAACTCATCAGGCCCCAGTTGCTGGAGGAGGCGCGTGGGGCTGGTCCATGGGCCAGGTTGGCAGCTCGCCCCACGTGCTAGATGCAGCGTGCATGGCCGGGCCGGGCCTGAGCACTGCATCCAGCACATGGGGCCAGTCTGTGAGCCCAGTCCAGACTGGCCACATGGACAGCATCGCCGCGTGCAGTATGTGGGTCTTGCTGAGCCCCCCCAGCAACGCCACAGACCAGGTGACGGCCCACTCGGGCCCTGCTTGACCCCGCTCGAGTGGTCTCCTGAGGAGACAGACACTTGAGCAGAGATGAGGGGAAGTTTCTACGGGTGAAAACTCCTTTGAAAGCTGCCCCGGCAGATTTTCTGGGGGAAATTGTGAAATGAGTTTTGCATTATGAAAGGGGGGGGAATGCACTTGCTGAGGCCCCTTCCCCCGCCGTGCCCTTTAAGTGACAAAAACTATATTTCACGGCCTAATAAGATTTTTCCCCAGCAACCGGCTTTTCATCTGTGTTCTCCTACTCTCGGGCTTTAATCTGGGCTTAACGGAGGGAACTGCGGCTCCTCTCCCTGCCTGGGCCCTGGCAGCCCTCTCCGAAATCTTTCATGTCTGCCGCGCAGGCAGGCGTGCTCAGCCGCTCGCCTCTTTGTGCTGGCGGAAAAGGGGCTGCCGTCGACCGCTTGTCGTCCCGGCCCCGCCGAGGACCTCTTGCTCTGGGGCCTGGAGGTGGTGGGACTCCCTGGGTGGCCTTGTGCCAGCTGGGTTTTCCTAGGGCTCTAGAGGCCACGTCTGAGTTTTCCACCCAGGCTGGGCAGAGTTGAAGAAGTCTCAGCCCTGCTCGGTGCCTCCATCCCATCCCCGGCTCGTGACTGAGCCGTCCTCTGTGCTAGGCGGCCTCCTGAATGGCCGGTAGCTGTGACACCCACCGAAAAGCCACAAATGCGAGCGCCTGTGTGGGCTTCTTCAGCGGCCTCTTGGTTTCCAGGCTCTTACTCCCTGCCTGTGCAGTGTGCCCACGGGAGCTGCACGCTCTGAAGCAGAGATTTCTGCATCATCCCGTGACTCCTGGAGCTGGAGCTTTGCAGGGTCTGGCCCAAGCCTGAAGGAGCTTAGATAGCATTGCTTTGGGGAGGGCTGGGAAAGGTTAGCTGGAGACGCCCGTTAGGCAGCCCTGCTTCGTTGAGCCGGCGGCTCTCTGCATTTCAGCTGTGACTTTGCGAGGTTTCCTCAACCCAAGGGGCAGAGATGTGGGGGCGGGAGGGAGTGGAACAGCAGACTGGTCCTGACTGGGTTGGACTGGTCTTAGTTGTAGACAACGAGGGTTAGGAGGGAGCTCAGGGCATCACATCTAGTCCAACCCCCTGCTCCAAGCAGGACCAGTCCCAACTCCATCATCCCAGCCAAAGCTTTGTCTACTCGGGTCTTCAACACCTCCAAGGATGGAGACTGCACCACCTCTCTGGGGAGCCTGCTCCAGTGCTTCACCACCCTCCACGTGAGAGTTTTTCCTAATATCCAACCTCAACTTCCCTTGCTGCAGCTTGAGCCCATTGCTCCTTGTCCCATCATCTGTACCACTGAGACCAGCCCAGCTCCATCCTCTTTGCAGCCCCCCTGCAGGGCGGTGAACGCTGCCATTCAATCCCCCTCGGTCTTCTCTTCTGCAGACTAAATCAGCTCAGTTTCCTCAGCCTCTCCTCACCAGTCCTGTCCCCCAGCTCCCAAACCATTTTCATTGCCCTCCACTAGACTCTCTCCAACCTGTCCACATCCTTTCTGCAGTGGGGGGCGCACAACTGGACACGGGACTCCAGATGTGGCCTCCCCAGTGCTGAATAGAGGGAAGAATCACTGCCCTCGATCTGCTGGCAACGCTCCTGCCAATGCAGCCCAGGATGCCGTTACCCTTCTTGGGAACAAGGGCACACTTCCCGAGGTGCCCGAGCTCGTCACCTTCCTGCGGCTGCTGCTGGTTCTCTGGTGCCTGACGTACGCTGGGCTCTTTGCGGAGCCAGCAGGAAGGGACTTGTTTCCCTGGAGCTGCCTCGCCCTGGACCTCCCAAGAAGCCCCCCGAGGCGCCTCGGGCCTCTGCACAGCAGGTCACCATGCAGGACCTCCAGGCACTGCGAACTGCAACAAGGGTGCTCCTGAGATGCAGCTGGGGCTGGGGTGGAGCCCCGCTGCAGGCGCACACAGCTGTAGTGGAGGCAAACGTTGGCAGGCCCCCAGTGGCTTGTGGATGGGCTTGGTGGGGGAGGATCAGGATGTAGAGCTGGGGGGAGCCCAGAGCTGGGGGCTCAGGGGTTGGAGCTTTGGGAGTGGGGGATGCTGGGGGTCAGGGTCAGGAGTGGAGGGGCCTCGCATGGAGTGGGGATGGGAGGACACCGGCGCCTCGGCAGAGCTGGGGCTGGCAGCGAGCGCGCTCTTCACCCAGAGCTGTTCTCCTGGCAAGGAGTGAGCTTGGTGCCAGGCTGCGCTCGCTGCTTTGTCACCGCCTTGATGAGCCTCCCCCAGCCCCAGTGACTTGGTTTCCTTGACATCCTCCACGTGCATTGGCCCAGGTCCCTGCCAGGGGCCAAGAGAAGCTGTCAGGCCCCGGGGGCAATGAGTTGGCCCAAAGCTCACCTCTACCTCTCCGTGCTGCCCCACAGCAGGGTCCTGGACGGGCGCTGTCGCATGCAGAAGCATTGACCCAGAGAAGCCGTGGTCCTGGGGCTGATCCTGCCTTGGGCAGGGCTTGGGCTTGGGCAGGATGTGACCCTTCTAGCCCCGTGGCTCTAGGATCCCATGGATGCAGCATGTTTGTGGTGCCTCCAGCTTGCCGGGGTAGGGGTGAGGGTTTGCACCGGGCTCCAGCTGGATCCGAGCCACGTGGCAGGTTCCCACGCACGGGAGGCCATGGTGCAGAGTGGGGGTGTGTGAAATGCTTTCAGCTGCGGCTGAGAGCACAGCGGGAGCAGGCAAGGGCCATTTTGAGTGCCGTTCTTAGTCCCGTGCCTGGATACTTCTCCCCCTTGTCGCACCCCAGAGCTGGCTGCATTCTGGCTCCAATGTCCCCTGCAGCCAGCCCCAGGGGACAGAAAGCCCAGGGCTGTGAAAGTCGGGGAGCAAAGCACAGCAGGGGGCTGTGTGAGCCAGGCACAGACCGGCGCTAGCTGCTGAGAGAGGCTGGGGGTGCTGGGAGGCACGGGCGCTGGAGGAGCCTGGCTAGTGCCCCTTGCAGCGAATGCAAAGCAAGGGGTAACTGGGGTGATTTGCACTTGTCCCGATTCCCGGGCTTCGATGCAGCTGCCCCGGCTTGCCTGGCACTCTGCTGCTGGCAGCAATGGAGCCTTCCTCCTGTTCCTCACTCTCCGGAGGAGCCCACAGCCTCCGGCCCCAGCCCACCCTGCTCCTTGGCTCAGCTGGGAGGGTGGGCACCGCCTCGGGGCATGTTTTGCTGGCAGCTCCTTCATCCCCCACCCCGCTGAGAGGCTGGGTCAGTCGTCCGGTGCCTAAAGGCCTTGGAAACATGCCCAGGAACCTGCCAGCTCCGGGAAGCCGGGATGTCATGGTGCTGCCAGGGGCCGCAGGCACGTGTTCCTCATGCACTAGCAGGCCTGGAGTTGAGCGGTGATTTTTCTTTTTTCCACTCCCCACCTTGACCCCCGAGCTAGGCTTGTTGCAGCCACCCAGCCCCCAGTGACGTGTGGCTCCGTGCTCCAAGATGGGCTCTGTTTCCTGCCAGCCTCCCCCAACAGTGGCCTGGAGCCAGCTGCTTGGTGTTTCGGCGCTCCCTTTGCCCAGACCGAGCTCCCCTACACCCTGCTGGCCCTGTGCCCCCGATTCATCATCCTCGTCGGGTCCCTGGGGTGCCATGTCGAGAGAGGGCAAGGTGTTCAGCAGAGGACAGAGGGGTCATCGCTGTTTGCTGTGCACAAGGGGGAACTGAGGCACCGGGGGGGGGGTTAAGTAGCTTGGCGAAGGTCCCCTTGGGCAGTCAGTGGCAAAGCCAGGAGCAATGCCTGGGGCCATGAGGCTACTGGGGTCTGTCCCCTCTGGCACTTGCACCCTGACTCCCAGAGCTGGGGATGGATCCCAGGCATCCGGGCAGGTCTTCCTGCCGTGCCGGCCGGGGTTTTACTGCATGGTTCTCCGCGCTGCGGCGGGCGGATGGACCAGGCTGCACGTGCGGCTTGAAGGGGAGCCCCTGGTCCTTCGGGAGCTCTGCCTTTCCCCATGCTCAGCCCCCGGGGTCCGTGTGTCTTGCAGAAACATCGCAGAAGCCCTCGTCAGCAAGGGCCTGGCCACCGTCATCCGCTACCGGCAGGACGACGACCAGAGATCCTCACACTACGACGAGCTGCTGGCCGCTGAGGCAAGGTGAGTGCTCAGGGCGCAGGGGACTATGTGGGGCTGGGGTCATGGGCGGGGAGCGCGGGCGTGGAGCCTCTGTGGGGCGGGGGTGACTTTCTCCGCGTTTTCCCCCTGCCACCTGCCCCTCTTTGCAGCCAGCACGGGGCAAGGAGGGCCCGGCCAGGCTCTCTGCTCTGCCAGGGCAGCCGTGCACTCAACGTGGCATCAGTTGGGGTGCATGGGAGGGTCTGCTCCCTGCTAGCACCCCGTGGCGAGCCTGGGGTCTTGGCTGGAAAGGAGTTGTATGCCACGGGTGGGGGCTGGCCAGACCTCCCTGCCAGTGCCTGGTCCCCACGCTGGCTAGGTGAGCTGCAGCATCTCCTGACCCTGGGACCTTTCCTGCCCCCTTCCAGCCCTGCGTTGGCCCTGCCAGCGTGAAGCTGTGCTGCATGGGGGGGGTGTCTCTCCAACTGTGTAAAGCCCCCCAGCCCAGCCCTCTTCCCCGCTGCAGGCACCAACCTGTGTGGCTCTGTCCTGAGGTCTGTTGCTCTCTTGCTTTCCAATCTCAGGGGTCTGCACCCCTTCCACACCCTTGAGCTGTGGTTGCAGGGGGTCCCTGGTGCTCTCTGTGCTGGGAGCTGGAGTGTCAGGCATTGCACAGAGCTCAAGCAGCAGCACTGGTGCTGGGCCAGGCCTGCTGCGAGCCGGGGGGCAACGGCGTGTTGCATTCGGGTGCGCCGGTGGAGGGGCTCCGGAGGCAGGTGGAAGGTGACGGCGCCTCTTCAGACAACCTGGGAGATTACCTGGACGGTGGGGGGCAGGGCAAAGGCTCTGGCTCAGCGGTGAAGGGGCAGCTTGGGGCTGTGGCCTGGCTGCCAGGGAAGTCCTTGCGCTGACCCGCTGGGACTCTGTGAGCCGTGGCCAAGAGCACCAGGCACGTCCCCTGGCTGCGAGGGAGGTCTTTGCGCTGACCCGCTGGGACTCTGTGAGCCGTGGCCAAGAGCACCAGGCACGTCCCAGCCTTCAGGAAGGAGGTCAAGGTTAGGTCCCATGATGTGCAGAGCCCTGGCACTGCTACCCAGCTGTCCTTCCGGTGCTGCAGGGCCCTCTTCTCCCAGGGACAGGGTGCAAACCCATGCAGGGACCCCTGACCTGCCATGTGGCTTTCCCAAGGATTTCAGAGGGCTCAGCCAGCATTAGTGAGATGCATCTGGTAGGCAGAGCCCCACTCCTTACACAGTGGGGAAAACTGAGGTACGGAGCGAGAGCCAGCCCGTCGGAGCAGACAGCTGGAAGCTGTCGCGAGGTCCCTTCTGGCGCAGCAGAGCCGGTCTTATTCAAGGGGCTCAGCCCCCAGCTTGCAGCGTTTGGGGGGCACATGCTGCTACGTCCACCCCAGGAACAGAGGTAACAGGGTGTCGTGGGAAGTGCCCAGAGCCAGGACTCCCGGGGTCTCTCCCCAGCTCTGAGTGCGGCTGCATGGCCGGCGCGGGGAGCTGGGTGTCAGGACCAGGCCTAGGGCTCCGCACCTTGCCACCAACTCAGTCCCTGCCTCGCCTCGGGCAAGCTGCTGAGCTCTGCCTGCGCCCACCTCTGGGGTGGGACAGCAGCAGCACGCCACTTGGAAAGCAGGGGACAAGCAGCACAGCCCAGCTGCCTGGGACATCCTCACAGCAGAGCACGGGCATTGCTCCCGATGTCGTGGCCAGGCTCAGCCCCCGGCTGTGGGAGCCACCCATCCTTCGGGCTGGCACAGGCTTCTGGAGCAATGAACCGAGCCGGGTACGCTGAGCTGCCAGGTCCCTGAGCTGCCTGGGAATCCAGGCCCAGGCCAGCTGGCACCTCTGTCCTACTAGATGGCTTGAAAACCAAGCCATTGATGCCCCTTATCCTGGCCTGGTTGGGAGGTGACGCATTTGCCCATTGCCACGACGAGGGGGGAGGCAGCTCTGGTCCATCTGCATGAAGACGAGGCAGGGACGAGATGTAGCAGCTGGATACAGATGCCCACTTCCCCTGGCCAGCTCAGCCAGGCCCTACGGAGCTGTCTCCACGTGTCCTGGGGCTGGAAGGGCCCGGCTCTGCCCCGCGCTTCTCCAGCCTCCCTGGGCAGCCTGGACCGAGCAGAGCCAGGAGGCCTGGCCTGAGGCCCAGCCTGTGCCTGCTTCGCTGCAGCTGAAAGCCCCGGCTTGGCCTCCAGCCTCCAGCCCTCCGCAGCCAAGGAGAGTCACATCCCTCCCTCCTCACAGCTGCCCTTCGTTCTTCCCTCTCTTCTCCCTCTCTTCCTCCCTCTTGCGCTTTCACTTTCTCTTTTTCTCTCTGTCCAGCTTCCCCCCCTCACTGATCTTCCCTCCCAGCCTCCCTTCGATCCTTGTGAGCATCTGCCTCCAGGCTCTCCATACCTCTCTGCATCCGTCGTGGCCCAGGGAGCCTCGACCCATGCACAAGGCTCTAGCTGAGGCCTCTTGGCGAGGGCTGCGATTGTATCTCGGTGACTAGCCCTGAGCTTTTGCAGCAGGGGGACCGGGATACTTGTGGGGACGGCTGCACAGCGGTCAGCTCCTAGTGTGCATTTCCTTCCCATGAGCACTGCCCTGGGGGGTTAGTGCCCCCATTCCTCCCTGTAGCTACTTGTTCCCATGGCCCCCCCCCCCACACACACACACAACCCGTTGCCTTGCTTATGGAGATGCTCGCAGAGCAGGTTGGAGCACGCTGTCCCAGCCAGCTCTTGGGAGACCGCGCTTTCCCTGAGTGCTGGATGTCATCGTCATCGTTGTCAGGCGTTACGGGTGCGCTGTTATCAGTGCAGAAGTCACAGGGATTGCGGTGCCAGCAAAACAGTCAGAATCGCAGACAGCGAGGGTTGAAGGTTGCTCAGGAGTCGCATCTAGTCCAACCCCCTGCTCAAAGCAAGACCAGCCCCAGCTACATCATCCCAGCCAGGGCTTTGTCTACCTGGTTTTAAACACCTCCAAGGATGGAGACTGCACCACCTCTCTGGGGAGCCTGTTCCAGCGCTTCACCACCCTCCTAGTGAGAACGTTTTTCCTAATATCCAACCTCAACTTCCCTTGCTGCAACTGGAGACGACTGCTCCTTGTTCTGTCATCTGCCCGCCCCACCTCCAGCCTCTTTGCAGCCCCCCAGCAGGGAGGTGAAGGCTGCTATTCAATCCCCCTCGGTCTTCCCTTCTACAGACTAAATCAGCCCATTTCCCTCAGCCTCTCCTCACCAGTCATGTCCCCCAGCCATTTTTGTAGCCCTCTGCTGGACTCTCCAATTTCCCCACATCCTTTGTGTAGTGGGGGCCACAACTGGACACAGGACTCCAGATGTGGCCTCCCCAGTGCTGAATAGAGGGGAAGAATCACTGCCCTCGATCTGCTGGCAACGCTCCTACCAATGCAGCCCAGGATGCCGGTAGCCTTCTTGGCACCAAGAGCACACTGCTGGCTCCTGTTCGGCTTCTGCTCCACTTTCCCTCCAGGTCCTTTTCTGCAGAGCTGCTGCCAAGCCCGTCACCCCCAGCCTGCACCGGTGCAGGGGATTGTTCTGTCCTACCTAAGTGCTAGACTTTGTGCTTGTCCTTGTTGCACCTTATGAGATTCCTTTTGGCCCAATCCTACAATTTCTCAAGGTCTCTGAATCCTTGCCCTGCCCTCCACCATATCTACTGCTCCGTCCAGCTTGGTGTCATCTGCAAACTCGCTGAGGGTGCGCTGCATCCCATCTTCCAGGTCATTGATGAAGATATTGAACAAAACCGGCCCCAGGACTGACCCTGGGGCACTCCACTTGATACTGGCTGCCAACTAGACATCGAGCCATTGATTACCACTCTCTGAGCCTGATGCTCCAGCCAGTTTTCTGTCCACCTTACAGTCTGTCCATCCAGCCTGTACTTCCTTAGCTTGCCTGCGAGAATGCTGTGGGAGACCGTATCAAAAGCCTGGCTAAAATCAAGGTACCCCACATCCACCAGTCTCCCCACATCCACAGAGCCAGTCATCTCATCACAGAAGTCAGGTTGGTCAGGCGTGACTTGTCCCTGGTGAATCCATGCTGGCTGTTCCTAATCACCTTCTCCAAGTGCCTGGAAATGAGTTCCTTGAGGATCTGCTCCGTGATTTTTCCAGGGACTGAGGTGAGGCTGACTGGTCTGTAGTTTCCTGGATCCTCCTTCTTCCCTTTCTTAAATATGGGCACTATGTTTGCCCTTTTTCAGTCATCCGGGATCTCTCCTGATCGCCATGAGTTTTCAAAGATGATGGCCAGTGGCTGCAATCACATCAGTCAGCACCCTCAGGTGCATCCCATCTGGCCCCATGGACTTGCACACGTCCAGCTTTCCTAAGCAGTCCCTAACTTGTTCTTTCACTACTGAGGGCTGCTCACCTCCTCCCCAAACTGTGCTGCCCAGCACAGTCGTCTGGGAGCTGCCCTTGCCTGTGAAGACTGAGATGAAAACGGCATTGGGCACTTCAGCCTTTTCTGCACCCTCTGTCACTAGGTTGCCTCCCCCATTCAGTGAGGAATCCACACTTTCCCTGATACTCCTGTTGCTTGACATACTTGTAGAAACCCTTCTTGCCACTTGTCACATCCCTTGCTAGCTGCAACTTCAATTGCATTTTGGCCTTCCTGACTTCATCCCTGCATGTCCAAGCAATGCTGTTATATTCTTCCCTAGTTATTTGTCCAAGTTTCCACTTCTTGTAAGCTTCGTTTTTGCGATTTACTCACTGAAGAGTTCCTTTCTAAGCCAAGCTGGTCTTCTGCCACACTTGCTAGTCTTCCTGCGTGTTGGGATGGCTTGTTTCCGCACTCTCAGTAAGGCTTCTTTCAAGTCCAGCCAGCTCTCCTGACTCCTGTCGCCCTCAGTCTGGCTTCCCAGGGGATCCTGCCCATGACTTCCCTGAGCAAGTCAAATCTGCTTTTCAGGGTCCTTACTCTGCTGCTCTGCATCCTTCCTTTCCTCAGGATCCTGAACTCAGTCATCTCGTGCCCATACGTTCCCCACCAGT